GATCTGATTTTTTTTGTCCATTGGAGTGTCTGTGTGCTTACATTTAAGAATTATTGTTTCTTGAAGTACAGAAAGAATGTATTTCCTTTGGAGAATTAGAATACCTTGTTTCGATCATGTTATTTCCATACCAAGAAAGATTTTAGAGTTATCTAGTATTTTATCTCAAATTTTCATACTAGAAACCCTTTTAATCTAATTAATTCTTCCTCAAGTCACTTGTCAATATAATATCATCTATGTACACAATCATAATCATATATACATATTTTTTAAATTTGTTTAGGTGAGTGGTTGCTTAAGAGTGTGATTAGCTTGGCACTTAGTGTATCCACACTTTTATGCATATTTGGATAATCTGTCAAGCTAGTATGAAGGGATTGTTTGAGACTGCAGAGATTTTGAGTTTACATACCTTATTTGTGTGTGTGTGTGTGTTTTAATTTTTAAATATAGGTGTGCACTTTTATTGATGGCCAATACCATGTACTTTCTATTGAGGTTGAGGGTAATGAGAAATGTTCATTGTCCATCAATTTGATATTCTTATTCTTTAATTTTCTTCCTTTGAATTTCAAGTTTGGAGTTGTGAAGTTTGTGTTCAAGATAGGGTTTTGTCCATATAATTTTAAATTTATCTATCAATTGGGGAATTATATAAATATATATATATATATGAGTATTCAATGCACTGATGCTAAGAAAGAATGCGAATAAAAATTGAGCATTCAAATTTTTTTTAAGGGAATAGAAGAGATAACTTTGATTTTTGGATATGAATAAAGAAGGGTTTGAATATTATTTTAAAACTATAGTATTTTTAAAGGAATTCTATTGATGAGAATATGAGATACGTATTTGTTAGGACGGCTTTTCATGTAGTTAAGAACATTTGTGAGGAACATTATTGATCTAGCAACCTTTAGTTGATGTTCATTTTCCTTTCAACAATAATATTTTATTGAGTGGTGTAGACATATAAACTTCAGTAGATAATTCTTTGGTGGAGGAGAGAATTTTTTAGATACATTTGAAGTATCCTTTGGCATTGTTGGTTTTAAGATGTGAGTTTTGGATTGAAATTAAGTGGATCATGGTGTTGAAAAGTTTAAAATTTGTTCCTCTTCATATTTTCTTTCATTAAAAAAATCCGGTGAGATGGTATGATCATTGATGAAAGAAATAAACCATCTAACTCTAGAAATTTAATTCTCGATAGCCCCCACACATCATTTTGGACTAAAGCAAAGGATTGTGAAGATGTGTAGGTTTGATTGGAATAAGAAATACGAGTGTGTTTAGTTAGATGGCTAATTTTATACAAACAATCCTTTGAATTTTTGTTGGTGAATAGGGAAGGAATTAATTTTTCATTGTAAAGAAATAGTTCTAAGCTAAACATCACTATCATTTTTTAAGTGTGCTTGGAGTTTAAAGTGGAGGTTTTGGTGGATATACAACCAGTTGTTTGAGCTCATACCTTGCTTGAGAGATCATTATTTATGGATTCTTGAACACAATTTTGTTTTACTTCTTAAGTTTTAATCCTATTAGTGATAAAGATTAGAGGAGAAATTAGCTATACAATTTTTTTCTTAGATGAACTTACATATTAATAATAAGTTGCAATTTAGATTAGACGCCACAAGCATATTGTCAAATGTCATTTTTTAAGAGAATGACAAAACCTATTTTGACCATAGTTGATGTTGACCCATTTTGTAATTTGAACATTATAATTTTTATGGCATGGGCAATAATATTAAAAGATATTTTGTCTCTTATCTTATGATCTAATGCTCTTTACTCTACCATTTAAGTAGTAGTTTTTTTTTTCTTGTGTATGATGAGGGCATTTGAGAATTTATCTTTTTGAACAACCAAGCTCATGCCAATAATATTTCAGAATAAGCTTCTATCAGTAGAATAATTGCTTGTATTTGACTTAATTGTCAATATGACTAGAAGCAGAGATGTGATGATTTGTCTTTGTTGATATTACTCTTTGAAAATTTTCAATCTAGTATTTTATCATAGATTTATCATGTTTTAGATATTGATTTATCATTTTAAAGTTGATTTCTAACATTGAAGTTGTCAGTTGATTAACCACTGGCTTCTTTGTGGCAACTGCCATCATCTTTTTTCTAGTAGGATCATTAATATATGTTTTTGTCACTCTTATTGGATGAAGACTAGCTTTTAGTTTTGGTGAAGGACCTGTCAGTTTGGAGGAGAGACTCCATATTGAATGTGTCATCATCCTCATGGGGGGTAGAACCTTATTAGCTTTGATGATGTTTTGAAATTTAGAATTAGAAGAAAGGAGATAAGAAAATATGAGAGTTTATGACTTAATTTATGCTCTTTTCACGTGTTTAAAGCAGAACAAGAAGAAACTACACATAATTGGTGGAAAATGGGTAAGAAAGGAATTCTAAAATGCAAATTCTTTATACAGCAAAAATTGAATGCTACTATCAACGGATTGCCGAAAATATATAGATGGAAAGGTGCTGTCCAAAAATGGTTTGATTGTTGTAGATGGAAAGATGCTGCTTATAAATTGTTGGATTGTTATAGATATCAATGCAGGGTTTATGTATTTAAGATTATTTCATAATTTTATTTGTTGATGACACATAAATTAGTTTGAAACTTTGTAGATATTTTTAATACTGTGATACTGAAGCTAGTGTAATAACATAGATCCCACCTGATTCTAAAATATCATTATTTTAGTAGAAATCTTCTCCATCTTGATATTTCACTCTATGATTATTCGCAGCCCCAGCGCTAGTCAATAAGGGGTTAGTCATAACTTTGTACTTGTGTCATCTGTTTTGCTGCCATCCATGTATTGGAAACTCCTAGAGTACTCTTTTTTTCTTTGTGGGCCATGTGATGTCAATGTACAACTGCCAATTGTCCTTGTCACACATGTGATGCCAATGTACTACTGCCAATTGTCCCCGTTGTTAGTTTGCATCACACCCCACTTATCGCCATATCCATCCTTCAGCTCCTATGTTTAGTTCCTCGTATTGCGACCATCATGCATCATTAGTTCGTAGTTGTTTTACGTCTGTTTACTTTTGGTAGCTACTCACCTATATGTCATTAATCCTTCCCATTGCTATCAAAAGATGTGGAGGGGAGGGATTGTTGCAGGTGGACTACATTGATGGAATATTAAGGGAATGTTAAACAGATTTAAATAATTGTTCTATTTTTTGCAAAGTTTGATAGAATTTGTTATGTATTATTAATAGTTAATAACTCATTATGTAATTCTACTATTTTATAATGGAAATCCTAAAAAATGTTTCTAGATTGGGAGACATAAGATGCTAGTTAGCTGCTGCAGGGTAGTGACATTTCTATTTGAGGCAGTGGCATTGCTATGTGGATAATGACAAGGCAATGATTTAAATAAAAATTTATTTTGGGGAGTGAAGCATTGATTTTCTTGTAAAGTATGTATAAATTTGTATCTTGTAAAGTATGTATAAATTTTTATGTGACTTTGAGTTCTTTTCGTACATAAGTACTCATCAAACTCTTAAGTTTAAGGTACATAAATCATACCATACAAACATTTATTTTGAGGACTGAAGCATTACTTTCTCTGTAGTGTATATATAAACTTGAATGCGACTTTTATGTTCTTTTCATATGTAACCACTCTCCAACCACTAAGTTTAAGTGTTATATATCATACAAATGAGAACTATTAAGAACAAACCAATATCAGTTTTCCTAGTCATCCAGATATCCTAAACTTAAACATATTATAGCTAAGTATATTTGTATTAAACAAAGGATTACTTTAAAGAATCCAACAAACTATGTTCAAATATACCCTTGATCATGTCTAGTGATATATATACAAACACGCATAGCCACCAATACTAGCATCGCACCCACCACCCACAAAACTTGGCACTGAATAATTTGTCGACTTAATGATTGATGGCCGTGATTATTAAAATCTACTATATAGCTTCTGGGAGACGATGAGTTTTTCTCATGTTGGAAATGAACAGAATCATTTGGAAACCATGCCGAAATTCTTAATTAGAGATGTGCATCCTTGAAGCATTAAGGATGAGTTAGTTTTTTACAATGACAATTTGACATAGATTGGTTTGAAAATAGCATTAAATGTTTGCGTAAGGGCTTCAAATTTTATAGCAATTAAGTCTTGAGGATGAAGAGCATGAAAATGCGGAGAAAAGGAATATGATACAAATTCAATGAGGATAAGAGATAATGAATAAAGCTGAAGATCAAATATTAAATAGGAGATTTTTTACTTTCTTTAAGTTATACATATTACAAACTAAATCAGTTAAATTGTACTATTTATGAAAATCGTTTTTGTTAATGTTTGTGCCTGGAACGCAATAGAATTTGAAAATCCATTGTTTTGCCTAATGTAGTTCAATGCGGTGTTATTAAAAGCATTCTTTGGGAGCAAAATTAAACCAGAAAAAAATAAATTTTAGCAAATATAATGATACGCACAATAATAGTAATTTTCAGCTATTTGAAAGAAAAATAAAATAAAATAAAGCAATGAAAGAATACTTTAAAAATAAAGAATACTTATAGTGACCAACTAGAAAAATGTAGTTTTGTGTTGGTTATCTTTTCATACCCTTCACAAGTATTCATCATAATTATAATAAGTTTACTCTGTCTTAAGACGTTTCCTTTTTAGTGCATTACTTCGTTCATGGCAGCACCTAGCCTCAAGCGTTGGGCAACAATATAGCCTTGAGGTCGCTTAGCACTTTATACAGCCTTAATTTTTTTGTTATATTTCTGCAATTCCTTAAATACATCATTTTATGTCAAGTTCTTTTTTTCAAGGAAAATACATTTCAATGCCATAATACCTCCATAATAGTTTATCCTCAACTCTTTCATTTTACGGAATCTTAAATTTGTTGATTTATCGGTTGAGTAACTGCGGCTTGTCCTTTTTTTACCTTCAGTGTAAAAAATCTACCGCTGTCATATGCTATTTGTCTGAACTTTGCTACCCCAATTGTAGCATCTATTGGTGCAAAGGTCATTTTACAGGAGAAATTGGCTTTTTCAGATATTGGAGGTATGAGTCCGTTTTTTTGGAGTTTTTTAACATGATTACTACATTGTTCCCGAAGCTTTTTTTTATTTTCTATTCTTAGCTGCTTAGCTGTTGTCTGCTATGTTAAATGATGTTAATCCAGAAGCCTATGTAGAAGAGTGTTTATGCTGGTAAGATGATCCTCTGGATATTCGTGGAGGGTAGATAGTACAAAAGGTTGGCCTATTACACGGTGGACTTCAGATATAATATAAAAAAAGTTCAGTTATTAACCTTCATCAGCTGAGGAAGATCATAAAAGATGAAGGTGAACCTCATAGTTAAAGAGTGAAAATTTTTTTGGCGCTGATTTTGAGGAACTGAATAAATTTTAATTTGTAAATTGTTTGATAAGACTGATTGGTAGAATAACTTCTATGATAGGGCTTACCTATTTAAGTAAGTCATCGGCTACATTTTGAAGTGTGTGCAATTCTATATTTAACTCTTCGTATCAGTATTAACAAATTTGAGGTGTTATGAGTAGTCATAAACAGAGAATTTTCTTTTATTCGGGTAAAGAAAAAAAAAAAAACTGGACTGCCACTTTGATATATCTGCAAAGGAGGAATTTGCTTAATGAATTTGCTAAATTCTTAGTACTTATGAAGAGATGGAGAAACGGTGTATGTCTAGCAGTATATTGGAGTAAATTTTTATTATCATGTTGTGAATAACTTGATGATTTATCTAGGTTTATCAGTTCGTGAGATATTTTTTCTTGGCTGGTCTTGTGTTGCGAGAAGCATCAAGAAACCTATGAGCTGGTTTTGGTTTCTCCATTTGATAAGTTTTGTACGTTCTTTTTTATCCTTTTTAATAAATTCCAAGGGTGCACTCTATCTTCTATATTTATATTGTACCTTAGATTTGGTAGACGGTTTACGCCAACTAAATGGAAATTTATTGATAGAATTTCAGTGATGGCACATGTAGCAATGCAAACAAGCTGAACATGAGTAATTTGGGATGTTCTTAGGTTCAGTTCATTGACTATAAAACCTTCATGAATGATATTAAATTCATTAACTAGCTAAAAAATCATTTATGTTTGGCTTGCTTATTAATTAAGCAAACACATGCCTGAATATAATGGATGGAGTACAACAAATTCATTCTTAGGTCATATATAAATGTCAATGGTGGGTGACACCATGATAAAGAATAAGGTTTATGCAATAGTTAACAAAACACGTGTCTTTAAAATCCAATTGCAATATTTTGGTTAAAAAACTCGACCTTAATTTGTTCTTGTTAGAATGCCCTTGTATATAAATTAAGAAAACCCAAATAAAAATAATTGTGTCGAACTACATAATCTAGTGTAAAGCTTGAATTATAATAAATAATAATAATTATTTTTATTTTTTATTTAGTTAAATCAAAATATTGAATTAATAATTATTACACAATTATGGAACTATTCTAATCACGAATCTTCCTTCAATTTTACAAATTTATGTAATTTGAATATTAAGTCAATTTCAAAAGAATAATTTGTTAAGGATAAAGTTGCAATTTTACAACATTAAACCATAACTCTATTCAAAGTTTGATACAAGAATCTATTATATTTTTCAATAATTAATAACTTATATCACACTAATTAACTTAATTAGATTGAATTAGCTAATGCAATTTAATATAGTAATTATTTTTGGCTAAATATCCTGCATCTACCTAAGTTTTATATTATGCCTCATGTAAATCTATATTTTTGATAGCTCTTCTTTTTCTCCCCTCACATGCAAGATTCTTACATGACGGTCTTTATGTAATAGAATCATAATTATAGAGAAAAGTGGCAAGAACAACCATACATTTTCTCCATTTCCTATTGTGTTTCTAATGTAGTCACCGCCCTCTCCTCCTATCTCTAATGCTTGCATCACTAACATTCTCTGACAATCTCCATGATACCAATAATCCCCAACACCTTCCTTTGCCAAAACCTATTTATCCTAGTCTCTTAATTCATAGTGAAGCTGCCTTTCTCTTTTACATCTTGTCATTCGACAACGGTGGAATGACTCGCCCATACCTTAATGGATTATCCTCAGCCACCTTTAGCTTAGATCTCTTCAAAAGCTTTTCTTACCATCTTCAACATCCCATCTTTGAGGGAAGCACAATATTGTATTTAGAATGCATCCAATCATTCAAAAAGATCGTGTGCAGTGTTGCATAACTTAATATAATGGTGAATTCATGATGTCCTCAGGCATAAGAAACAATAGTGAAGATTAGAAATCAAGCTAAAGTACCACAATGAAATCTTAAAATAATTTGGAACCTATGTGACGCATTTTCATAAAATGTTTTATGCAATGTGCCATCTAGACATAAGAGACCTAGGTAATATACTGATATATTTTTCTTGCCTTCCCCCCACCCCCCCGCACACACACAATTAGTTTCTTCCCTATTAGCAAGCTTGAGCTCTCCATAGAACCCTTGTCGAGGTTGTCCGATGATTGGAGACTGAAAGAGAAGAACGACCATATGAGAAAAGTGAGAAGAAAATGAGAAGTAGAGAAAAGAGGTAAGACTTCATGTCAACTACCAAAACTATTAGCGCCAATAGTCTTTGATCTCTTCCTTGTTAGAGGCACTACAATGAAATTCATAAATTGTTTTTATTGATGGGAGGAGAAAGAGAAAGTGCGACAAAAGTTTCTATTTAATTGTAATGGCAATCTTAATATTGAACTCTTTAAGTGGCTTCTCCTTTGATAAGTTCAACAAATTCACCCTAGACCATCAAAGCCTCCCTTTTTGTGGCAAGCAAAAGCAGTTAGCTCATTTCCTAGATTTGTATTAGTTCTATGGCCCAAAGTTTTTTCATTTGTGTAAGGGGGATGAAACTAAAGTGGTATTGAAATTGGGCCAGATACACAAATGTTCAAATTTGTTTTCAATAAATCTATGGGTTAGAGCCAAACATAAGGTATTTTTACCCCAATATATTTCTCACCTAGAATTGAATCTTCTCGTCGATATCAAGTACCATGCACCAAGAGTTTACTCAACCGTATAAAGTTTCCATTGGACTAATCTCACTTGAACGTTATTCAACACAGGTATAAGTTAGTCAAGACCTCTTGGAGCCTAAAAAAAAAAGGTATGAATCACTCTATTCCTGTAGAACCATCAACAATAATACCACATATTAGGGTAGATAAAAATAAAGTGGGGATAACGTTTGGTCAAATAAATAAATAGTAAAATATATTTTCAATCCAAAAGGGTAAGCCTATGGATAACATCTAAGCATTTGATATTCTACACCAGCATCTGGTTTATTTATCCAATATGAAACTAAAGTCAATGCTCTCACATGCTTTAATAATTTAATTTTTTGAATTTATTTATGATTATTACTTTTTGTAAAGTTAATATTGATAGTTCAAGGGATTATGAGCTTCAAGGATTGCATGTGTGAATGCTACTTACAGAAAATGCTCTTTTTCAATTGTAATATATTTAGCCAAATTAATATGCATGAACAATTTTAAGCAAAAAATCAGATGTTTAAAAGTCTTTTTTGGTATTTATCCGTGCTGATTTGTATGCCATTGCTGCTTTGCTTATTTCATGCTAGAGCTGTGCATTTTATGGTCTTAAACATACCAGTTGATCAAATTAACCAAAATAAGTTCCTTCAGTTTGATTAAAAATTGTTTCATCATTTATTGATGATTTTTAATAAATTAATGTTCTAGTTTGGACTATTTAGAACTTTCATTAAACAACGTCAAGTTGGGCAATGAATGTCAGCTACCTATCATACATAAAATCATATATGATCAACTACATGTACTGGCACTCGTCATTCGGGTATCCGATAATCATCTATCATCATCTACAGCCAAAGATTGATCTTTGTTGGCAGTATATGATGTTTGACCATTGCCACCTTTCATGCATGCATGCCCCCAGTTATTGTTTGTAACTAACCGCCTCAATCAACATTTGGGCCTCTGCAAATATCTGATCACAACTGACTGTGCATGAATTTATATTGCATGGTCACCGACGTCCATAATTGCCAATGGTGCCATACTTGGATGCATGGCTGCATGCATGCAGGCATGAATGAACAAATACATGTATGCATGACAGCAAATGATTACATATTGGCCGTGCATCCATAATACATACATGCATGCTTGCATATATTGGCCATGGATTCCTAGGCATTGGATATCCCCAACATCCAATAGTCATGCATGAATTTGAATGGCAAAAATTTATTCATGCAACTGTTCAGTCCTTAAGAGTTTGAGGATAATGTGTTTCATACATTTGATAAAATAAAACCAACAATCAAACCGGCCAATTGTTTTTTTCAGCTAGCTTATTTTATAATGAACGATTGCTTATTTGGATTGTTTGGATAGCCAAGTTGTTTGCATTCTAGGCTTAGTCAGTAACCCAACCAAACCATTTAATTGTGGTCCCCTATTTATGTTTGGCTTTCTAATATGCATATTAAGGAAGACAAAATAGTATCTTGCGGTTATGATGTTCATGTATTGAAGATCTTCCTAACTGGACCTTGTAATGGTTGTTCTTCTAACTTATCTTTGCTTGAAATATCGCTATGTAGTACCAAGTCATGGACTTTATTCCTTGAATGCTCATATTTAGTTTTTCAGCCTCAATGAATTTTTTTGTGCTATTGTTTTTACATCAGGTCTTTCTTTAAGTTACCTTGGCGTTCTGTTCGTTTTCAAGCCTACAGTTTTAACACAAGGTATGCATTTCAGTAAAAAAGGTGTTTCTGGCTTTGGAAAGTTTTGCATCAGCATAATTATCAGTTCTATTTAGTTGTTCCGTTCTGTATCTATTTGCTCAATGTTATGGTAGTACTGTACCCAAATTACGTGGTTATAGTTATGTATTATTATATTTATTTATTGTTTGAATGTTTGTAATTGAACATTTAGCCTGATTCGTCAATGCAGTTTGTGAATATTTGCAATAAATTACCTTATTGGAACGAAAGCCGTTAGCTTCACATCATATGGACTAAATCGTAGTTAGCTCTCTTGCCTGAGGCCTATTGTTTCCAGCAAGGAATGCAAACTTTTTTCAATAACCCGGAAACTGGCACTGAGAATATTCCTCATAATAGATAATAGCATTCTGTGAGGATGAATGATCCAGGAGTTAATAAAAAATAAACAGGCATAAGTTAAAAGTGGACAATGGATGTAAGCAAAGATCCAAATGCATTTGGAAACTTGTTATTGGCGCTGTCATTTGTATATTTGCTGCTGTGGAAGTTCTAAGTTTTTTTAATGAAAGCAACTACTTCAGAAGTTATAGCCTTCTTAAAATAAGAAAAAAACATATGAAAAGTAGTTTATTAATATGTTCCATGCTTAAATAACTTTAAGAATCCATAACTAAGTTCCTTTGTGATGGTGGCCGACAGTGGGACGCAGCGATGGGTGGCCGGTGGGCATCGGCGGCGGCCGTTGATGGAATGAAGCTCACGGATAAATTGAGGGGTGGGATAGAGAAGAGCTTGAAAGAGAGATGAGAAAAGAAAATTATGAATTTATCTTAAAGTTGGAGTTGAGTAGCCCGTGCATTGCTACCTATGTACCCAAGAACTAGACTTCAATTACTTTGGGATCAAACTCCTTTGTTGTTAGGTCCTTAAGGATTCATACTCTTATATATATTTTTGTTATGGCATGGCCACCATCACAGACGAAAGCTCCCTCCCGTTCTTCTTTGGGTTAGTGCCTGAGTTGTGCTTGATTTTGGCATACATGACTTATACTTCCAAGTTGTTCACCTTTCAACATAGATCTGATCTCTTGTTTTGTTCCTTTGGAGAGTTCACATATGGGATGTTCTTTTGAAGTGGTGTTATGTTCCCAATATTGTGGCAACATCTCTTATTGTATGTTGATTGGATGTACCTTTGCATAGAGTAGAAACTTAGTTGACTTTGTATTATGAGGTTGTGTCCCCTCTACAAAGTTTGTCCCATCTAATTGCCTATGCTGGTTTATACATTCTTCTAGAGTTGAGCACTCTAAGTTTTGATAGAGAGGTTGGTTAGATCATTTAACCAACTTTGCTTTGTTCACCCTTCTAGAGTAGCCACCTATGTTTTTTTCAGTGTAAATATTTTCGAATTTTATTTGGCTTAGTGATGATATAGGCAAGTTTATGTAGGATCTTTAGGTTATGCAAAATCTCTTAGGTCCATTTTATGACTAATATCTTTTTATATTCATTTCAAACATCTTATGCCTTGCCACGTTTAATCCTTCTAATGACATGAGGAATTGCCCTGGTGCGTCATACTTAGTTGATCTTGTGAGAATGGGTAAGTCGTCAATGATCTCAGCTTAATCAGTTGAGGTTGGTACTTTGGGTGATTATTTTGTGATAAATTGTCTAAATGATTTTGAACTTGGTTTAGGTTGCCCTACCTCTAGCTGTATGCGATTGACATTTGTTGCCTGTTAGGTAGCACTCAACTAATAACGCTAAATTGTCATTGTGTAATTAGACAATGAATGTCTAACAAATATTAGTCTTCCTTAGATATCTCTCATTAGTTGCCACATTAACAGCTCAAAATTTTCTCTTGCGAATGAGCCATGTTTACCCATCTCACAATGCCCCTCATTTCACACTTGCCTTTCCCTTAATCATGATGCAAGGGGAAAATGAATTTACTGGGTGTTAAAAAATTGGTTGTTGATTCGTCTTGATTTTATAGGTCTTCCACCTTACGTATTTAGTTGTTGTTGGACATTGTATGACACTTGGTTTTCCCGATTAGGTGATCAATGATTGTTCTAGCACTTTTTGGGAATAGAGGTAACGAGTACTCTTTTGTGTTTCCACATTGCGTATGTTGGTTTGCTTACAAAATGAAATTCATTTCAATGTGTTGTCCTCCTTGCAACTATGATTGATTTGTTTCTTAAATGTGTTTGAGGCCATAAGCTTATCCTTCACTTTATAAATAGCAGTGATTCACTTGTCTTCTTTATCTCCACAACTCAATCTATGATTTGATGTTCTCGCCATGAAATTTCTTAGACTTATACCTTGTCGGGGGAACATTGATGAGAAACCTCTACTTGAAAGATCTTTGATTTCGAATGTGCCTTGTGCTTAATGGTAGTCTCCATTTGAAATGACATTTTTATATTTAATTAGGGGGAATTCTTCCTAGCTTATTTTGTCGTTGCCTTTGGCTGGTTGGATTTTATGTCCTGGGAAGAGAATGATTTGCGGTATGCCAACTCACATTTGGTGTTGAATGAGAAACACTTTCTTACCATACAATATAGTTGATTCAGGATTGTACCAATTGCTTGAGGCATTTGAAGGGAGTTTGGGACATTATTCCTATTAGTCCTAGCTCACTCTTTGCTTGATTGTTTGATGTGCTTCATGACGAGTCCTTTGTTCCTATGTTCATTCTACTACTCCATCCTCATCTTGCCTTTTTTCTTGCTTCATTGGTCTTAAACCCCACTTATGTAAGAGCCTTGTCTTTCTTCGTGTCAACTTGTCCTTGTTTATATCAATTCTATTATATAAATCATCTAAAATTATAGCCTTTTCTTTGCTAACTATGCTCTTTTCAATACTTTTGGTTTTCTTGTAATCATCAAAAACCTCAATAGTTTTAATATTTGTCAATAATTTAAAATAAATCTATTTCTTAATAATATTTTGCACTTCCTTGGTTCCTTCTCAAATCTTCTTACTATTGTATAATTACTCTGTATAATTACGTTTAGAGTATATCCAAAGTCCAATTATAACATCATCATCACATGCGGTAACAAATACATGATAATTACTTCAATATCACTTGCAGTGCTTTAAATAATAACCTTGACATTATTTAACTAAATAATTATTTGTTTGTTTGAAAGACAATGTGAAAAATACTATGCAACACAATATCGTATAACACCAAACAACAATGCCAAACGTAGGCTAAACCTTAGCTAAGTAACTAGTTAAACTCGGTTAATATAGTTCACGCATATGTAAACTAAATTTGAAGTAAATCGTTGTAAACTAAAATCCATCAGAAATTGGTCTTGGTTTAATTTAATTCCATATCATATTTCTTAGGCTCGACTAAAGCCGATCAATATCGATTGCAAATAGGCTTTAGCTTAGAAGGACCTAATTGCTTGGTTTAATTCAAATTAGTCTTGCGAACCAAGCCAACCCAGTTCGATTATGAATTAAATGCTTACTATAATGTTTATGCTATGGTTTGAGAAATCCTAAGATATTGGCTTAAACTAAATGTAAAGTTTTGGAAGGAGAAAATAATCAAAATGGTCCATTGACTCTTTATGAAGGACCCCAATTATGCTAAAGGGTCATTTTGGTCATTCTAAGTCTTTAAAGAGGAATCAAAATAATCTCATAGTTGAACTATTTTGGTTCCTCTATAAGGAGTTGAGAGATCAAAATTACCATTTAATATAGTTGGAGACTATTTTGATTATTCATAAAGAGTCAAGGGGCTATTTGGTCATTTTCCCTTTTTGGAAGCAATCAATCAGGCATCATCACATTATTATATTTAGCCTTACCCCAATTTGGCTTCCTATTTATGTGGTAAAATCTAGTGTGTTAATTTGTGCACCAATTCTAGTTGCTCATTTATTTATCCTTTTTTTTTTGGACAATGCTATGTTGATTTTTCATTTGCATCTAATGCTCAAGCATATGTTCATATGTTGTAGTGCAGATGGAATTCTAAAGAAGTCTGTCATTTATGTTCCTGTTTACTACACTAGCTAATCAATTTCATATTTATTCAGGAAATATTGCTGAAGCTGGTGATATGTTCAATGAAGTTTTGGTAACAGGAGGCCAAACTATTTATGCAGTATTACTTGGCTTATTTTCATCTTTCTTGAATGGAATTTGCTACTGCTTCATAAGAGCTGCTGCTAAGGCAGCTGATCACCCAGTGTATGATACTCTGATTTGCATTCCAAAAATTTAAATATCTTCTATATTAGTTTCATTGAAATATATTTGTGCCTATATACATATTTATAGGCAAAATAAGAGAACAAGAAAAATAAATTTCCTTCGTAATGAGAAAATATATTAGTAATAAATAATGCAAATACTTTTTAAATAGTCAGCACATTTAATAATTAGTACATAGTAGCACTCCCTTATAAACTCAGTGTGGCATAAAAGATTTTAACTTGAATTTGGAAATAGTAGTGATCATAGCTTAAGTAATAGATGATTTTGCTGCCCAAAGGTTACAAATGTTGTAAAAGTGTGACCAACAACAACATAAATCCTTTATCCCACTATATGGGGTCGGCTTTGTAAGTGTGACCAATCCTTAAAATAATTATAGTGCAAATTGAATGTAGATAGTTGACAATGAGATCTTTTGTCAAAGAAGACATGAATAAGATCCTTAAATAGTATATTGATTGAGAACATCGATGGTGATATCAACGAAGAGCATCAACGAGTAATATTGATAAAAATATTGACGGATTAGGTTCTTGCTTATGTCAATGCGACATAGATGGTCTTATGTGAATTTCATAGAGAAAGAAGCTATTATAGCATGGATGGGTTGACGTCAAAGGGAAGTGTGAGAACAAGTTAATGGAGTCAAAAGTTTGATGAGTGTAACTACAACAGGAAGACATTTAGAGAAGATGAGGATCCTAGAATATATCTCCGATATCATGTTAGATGGAAGAGAAATGAAAGGGGTTATATCTTTAGTCGTTTGCCTTCATATTACAAGTATATTTGTGCCTATAAAAGAAGAGAACAATAACGAAATGCAATAAGAAAGATATCCTCCATATCGAGGAATCATAACAATAAGAAATAGAACTAATTCTTAATATAAATAGTTAGCATTATGATAATTTAGATATAATAATAATAATAATAATAATAATAATTATTATTATTGTTAGTATTTTATTTGGTGTAATTGTTATTGTCTTAGTGTGATTATTGCTTACAAAACGTATATAAAAAATTATTAGGATTTTGATATTTTTTCTTTGTATAGTTTTGAAATTTGTTCTTGATTTCATTTGTCTGTCTCTACATGTTTGTTTCTTTATTTTTTGGGGTGGGGGGTGGGGGGCTTCCAATTATATTAATCTTATGATCCATAGCCAACTTCTTAATATTATGATATTAAGTCTACAATAAAAGACAAGAGCTTATTTGAAAAGCTTTTTAGAGATTTTTTGTTTATCTATTAATCAACTAACGGTTTCCGGCAGTTTCCACTGTGGAAGACTTTTCTTACTGCTTTTAACTAATTATGTTTATTATTTGGAATTGCATCCAATGCTTTTGCTTTGAGTGCCATGATATCTTTCATATGATCTTTGATTGGCAATTTGATTGATGCGGACATCCAACCGTCCATGCCTATCCGAGGAGGAGCTGAAGATCGACGGTGGAAGACTTTTCTTACTGCTTTTAACTAATTATGTTTATTATTTGGAATTGCATCCAATGCTTTTGCTTTGAGTGCCATGATATCTTTCATATGATCTTTGATTGGCAATTTGATTGATGCGGACATCCAACCGTCCATGCCTATCCGAGGAGGAGCTGAAGATCGACGGTCGTGATCATCCTATGTTATCTTAAATTTTATTTGTATTTTTATTTTTAATTATGCAATTTTCGTTTTTTACCCTTATTTAAGGGTCTTGTCTTATGTAAGCCCAAGGGGAAAAGTTGTCTTTTCATTTTCTTTAAGGCCTATATATAGAGGCTCTTGCTCTTGTATGAGATCAATGATGAATTATTAAGAAAAGAAATTTTGTTTGCACTTGTGTTCTTTGGAGAGAACTTGGGTGAGATTTCTATGGGAGGGAAGTGAAGTTTCCACCAGCCGCAGGATGGGTCCGGGCTCGTGGCGTGAAAGCCCCTTGGAGAAGGGTAACGTATCACCCGTCAGACTTTGGAAGAGTTCAAGGCTCGCGGTTTTATCTTTTATATTTTGTTTTTGTTCCTTTTTGTTGTTCCTAGTCGTCATCTTCATTCTCTCCCTACATCCACCAAACCGGCCCTAGCTCCACCACCACTTCCAACCAAGCCTCAAGTCGCCGGCCCTCCACTTGGTTTCCTCCCATCTCCACTTGCCATCAAGTCTTTCCTAAATTAGTTTTCATATTTTAGGTAGCTATCTTAATGATCAAATTCAAATCTATTTGAATTTGAATAGTTGCCTAATTTATCAATCCTATTTTAGAAAACTTACTAATTCAAAGCCTATTTAAATTTTGAATTAAATTGGAATGAAATATTTCATTCCAAATTTAATTTATTAATTTAGGAAAGCTTTGGATCCCTCATTAACTTCCTCATTAATACCTTCCATATTTAGCCCCTTGTGTTTTAGGAAAGGATTTGAATTCAAATTCAAAATAATTTGAATTTCAAATAATTTGAATTTCAAATGCTTTTTAATTAAGCCTATGCCCTTGAAGGAAATAATCATCAATCACCATAAACCTGAGATTAATTCTCAGATTTAATCATTAATTACAATTCATTGCTTGGTTCAGATTCATTGAATTTGGACACAATTCCCCCCCCTCCTCTCAAGGCCGGCCCACCCCTCCCTCTTTCTCATTAATCCATGCTATTAATGGTCCATAATCACTCCCTAAATTTAGGACAATCCAAATTTGAATGAGCATTGATTTAATCTATCAATCCTAATTGAAAGTTATTGATTAGGCAAGCCATCAAACCCCCTCACCTAATCCCTAGCATCCAAACCTGCTTTACGGCTGTCCAGAGAAGTCCCAAGGGCTATTATAGAATTTTTCCTGCATTCCCACCTACTGTCCACTATTTGGAAAATTCCAGGTTGTTGTCCTCTGTCCAAGAGTGCTCAATTCAGCAACAAAGCTGTCCAGGGAGACCTCCTAGATGCTGTCCAGTTGATTGGAGAATCACAGACTGTTGTCACCAGTCTAGGAATGTCAAAATAAGCAAGGAAGTTGTCCAAGAAGGCCTCCCAACTATTGTCCAAGACATTTAAGAAACAAAAGCTGCTATTTAGACCTCACGATTTGCTCTTCAAGACCCATAGGACTCAAAACCCCATACCCGTTCTACATCAGTTTGGTATTAGAGCATGGTTTCTCACCCGGGGTAAACTACCACATATGTGACAAACCTTTATAAATGCTTATGGATACTCTTACAATTGTTGGTTGGTACTCATATCTGTAGTGAATTCATGATTCTTACTTGCATATGAATTGTAGGGTCTTATCACATTCACTGTACATCATCCCTACGTCATAGAAGACCAATGTATTCACTTGTATATTGTCCTTCAATGCTTGTGGAGCAAGCTATATTGGATTGAATACATGTGCTATATTTGTTGTTCATCATCCACATCATGATCATGAACGTATCATGATGTACATTGCATTTATCTTACCTTTGTTCAAGAGTAGACAACTGCAATCATTGCCATTCCTTTAAATCATCCACATACATGATTGGGATCAATATATGAATCAATTATAAACATGCCAAGTTGGAATACACGAGACCCTTATTTATTTATTGATGTTCATTTGCATAATCAAAATTACCATATCAAATTTATATATTTTTTATTACGATCATGCATTCATCAAATTAAGGTTGAAATTATTATGCACATGGCTTAAGTCTTATTGCTTTATTCAAATTTGAGTTAGATTTATATTCAGTTCAAGTCCACAGTGCATGTTTAGTTCCATATGGTTCATTTAAGTCCTTAGTATCCATTCATCTTAGTTCAAATCCTAGATGTCAATGGCGCAAAATAGCGCGCACCATGGCGTGGCGCAGCGCACCTACAACGCCATGCGTATGGTGCGGCGCAGACGTTCAAAATGGCATGCGCTGTTTGCGCCGCATGCGCGCCATGGCACATGGCGCACGGCAAAAAATAGCCCGCTTCATTGTTTTAAAATTTTTTTAATGTAATTATAAATATTTTTTATATTTATTTTTTTTAATTTTTAAGATAATATATTTTCTAATTTTTAAATATATTAAAAGTGTTAAGATAAATGTTAGATTGCATATTTTTATCTTCTTAATGCTATTTGCTTTCATTTAAATATATTTGAGTTGTATGAAGATTGACTATTTATTGGACTTGAAATTGTTAGAGACAGGTTAAAGGATAATCTCAATGGAATTTATTGTATGAAGGCATATATTTGATGGAGAACATGAAAGTTGAAGTGACTTTTTTTAGTAATGGACTTGATATGATTGTGACTGAAGTGATATCTTGATTGGATGTGGTAATTTTCTTAGCATGTTAGTTAGCTAGTAGATAGTTTTTAGAATGTAGAAGGATATGTTAGGATAGACAAACATTCCATAAAGTATAACAAGGTTATCTGTTTAAATAAATTGTTTCGGTGAATGCTTGAGCAAATTGATTGGTTTGTTATTTATAATTCTTGTATAATTTGCGCCATGTTCAAAATGGCGCCATGGCTTCAATGGGACCTTTGCGCCATGGTGCGCCATTCGCCATTAACAAGTATGTGTTATAGAATTTTTCCTGCATTCCCACATGTTGTCCACTGTTTCGAAATTTCCAGGTTGCTGTCCTTTGTCCAAGAGTGCTCAAATCAGCAACAAAGCTGTCCAGGGAGATCTCCTAGCTGCTGTCCCGTTGATTGGAGAATCACCGGCTACTGTCACCATTCCAGGAGCGTCAAAATCAGCAAGGAAGCGGTCCAAGAAGGCCTCCCAACTGCTGTTCAGTTAAGATCGGAGTTTCATTTCACCTTTGTCCTTGGAGATCCCCAACATTACAAGTTGCTGTCCAAGACTTCTAAGAACCAAAAGCTGTTGTTTAGACTTCACGATTTGCTCTTCAAGACCCATAGAACTCAAAACCCCATACCTGTTCTACATTACTGATCATCCCTACGGACTCTTGGCAATATCCTCCTTGATCTCAAAAGTGTGATATGAGTGTGATATGAGAAATCCCTACAATCTACAATTTTCGTGAAGAAATCAAACCATTAAAACTTTAATGAATATGATCTCTTTAATCTTTCATCAATTTAATGCCCAAAATTGTGATCATAAATGACTTGATTATCACGTATAAATCTGATTATTTGATCATGGATCCCTCATTTAGGAAATTTAACTAATATGAAATCATAAATTCATATGAGGGAAGGTTGACTTTTCAACTTCCCTATTATATCACTTTGTTGTGTTTGCCATTGATGTTTATGAAGTTTCTAAAAAAAAATTCCGAATTTTCTTTTGGGAGCTTCCTAATTCATGATGTTTTGGTACAATTTCATCTTTAGAAGCATCTTACAAATATCTAAAGTCATAGGTTGGGCATACTTTATTTAACTAGTATTCTTGATAATCTCTTGCTTTTTTGAGCTTAATAAGACACTGACTTCTTTATATCCCTTTCTTGCTTGAATTGGCAAATGGGTCGATTTTCAGGCTCTTTCTTTAATAATGGAGGTTTCTCTACTTATGAAAGATCTTGCTCCATTGCTCTTTTGGAAGATTGAGTTTTTTTACTTTTGAATATCTTTGAGTTGCTAAAGCCATACATGGCATTGACAATATTTTACTTTTTTTCACTTTTGTAGAGTCAATCTTATGACCTAATTGCGATACATTGGCAGATTTTGCTTTGGTGTGTTAGAGATGGGTTGTATGTCTTCTTCCATAGTCAACTTTTGAATTTGGATGTCACCTTTGCCAAAGGTAGAGAGAGCATGGCTTCTCCTTCTTTAACACCACAAACTAGTAATGGCACGAATTTATGACTTGTATGATTTTCCTTCCTGTTACTATGTCTACCTTTGATACATTGTATCTTTTCTTAGCTGAAAAATCTTTCCTCTTTTGTAATCTAATACTAATAAAATTATCTCTGCAGTATCCCGTACCTATTACATTGGTATAAGTTCCTTGAGAGAACTTGGCATATGTATAGTAGAACCACTTTGCATATCATCTCATTGATGAATGCTGTCGTAATTGCATACTTTAAGCAATACTGATGATCAATCTTCATCTCAGGCCCCTTATAATTACAATCCAAAGGATAAAGATCGGAGTGGGGTAAGGTATTCAATCATAAGTTTTTGTGCTTGATCTGTATCATTTGGGTGAACTCTCGTGTGCCCATATTGGAAAATGACCCACTTTATATCCTTGGCATTGCTACCAGGGATGGAAAGGAGTGTGCCTTGTCCTTTGGACTAGAACAATGTTGTCCACCATAATAGCTATTATGTTTTCTTTTAATCTTTATTCTATCATTCAATGAAGAGCTAGGGCGCAATTCCAACAATTTTAGTTTATGTTGCCAAGTATATGACAATAATCACAACACTTAATAGGGTTATTGATTTTTCAGTGGTCACCAGCCTTTTTTTTTTCTTTAATTTGGAGAAAGATGATTTCTCTTCATTTGGTTCTTCAATCTTCTCCTTTCTACTATGGTTTTTGTGCTCTATCCCCATCAACATCATACTAGTCTAGTTGAGATCAATGATTAAAAATAAAGACTTGAGGTGTGGTTCATCAAAGTTTGTACATACCCAAAATTTTCTCTCAAAGTGACCACGTGATGTTAGAAGCTTCTATACAAATTATTCTTAGTGTTGTCTCAAATTGTGCCACTTCCAGCGATTTTATACATACCTCTTGTGCAAAATGCTAGGCGGATCAGCTGCTTGAACATTCCACAAGCCACCTCTTGATGGCCATACATTTTAAAATGGACATTCCGCCATGCTATGATATGACAGCTGAACTTTTTGTCGGGCAAAGGAAAACTTGTGATGAGTGCTATATTCATTCAAGGTGAAGTAAGTCTCCACTTGATCAATTTATGCACCTAGCTTCTTGGTATCGACTGTTCCATCATATATGGGAATCTCCACTTTAACTTTCATTTTGAATGACCCATCTTTCGTGAATGGTAGCCATATCATCTTCATTATCTCCATTCATGTTTGCATCCCATGTAGGAGGAAACGACTTGGTCCACTAGTTTCATCTATTACGTCTGCCTAGGAACTTGGTTGGTAGATTTAGTATTGAATCGTTGTTAGCTATTGATTGACTGTCTTCTTATTATTATTCTTATGTTGTTTTTTACTTGTGCTGCATCTTCAAGACAAGAAGCAACACTCATTTATGTTTATGTTTTTTCTTTGTTTATTCCATGTACCAAGTGTTGAAGTTCTAATACCAACTTGATCTGCTAGTTTAGCCCCTTTGAGTTTAGTGGTTATAGAAAGCAAATGCTAACTGGATAATCAATTTCTTCTAAAATATTTTGGAGGTTGTATTATTATTGCTGATAAAAGTGTAGTCAGCTTGCCTTCCACTTATGTGTGATTAGCATAATCTTTCCCAAGCCTAGTGTTTTGGCATAAATGAAGGGGTTTGGTAAAACCAAGTGTGCAGTCCTATAGATCCATTGATAATAAAGTTTAGAAGAGGAATAAAAAAGTGTGGGTTTCAAATGTTAAATTTCACGAAGTTATTATGATGCATTAGATTTATCGTGGCATAACCAGCATAAATATATTATGACAGATAAGAGGCCATCTTGATCTGATGTTCTTTTGGAAGAAGTCTTTCTGTTTAGTAACATAGTTTGATGAGATTTAGACATTATGCCTTTCACGTTTAAAACATACAACTCTAGTGTAACATACTAATTTTATGGAATTTGGTCATTTTTAAAAAGCAGTGACGTTCATTTTTTCCTAAAGGATATATTATTAGGACTGGAATGGCGATTAATAACAATTTCTAAATAACTAAAAAGTGATTGTTATTTTTAGCAGACATTTTTACTGAACCAATTTGGTTTTAAAACAAGTTAAAATTAGGGTAGCACAAACACAAAATTCAGCTTTGATATGGATCAGCTTATTCTCACTAAGGCCTGCATGGAAATATCATTTGTACTTGGAAATTCGATCGTTAATCTTAAATTTGAAATATAATTTCTTTGAACTGGTCTTTGAATCTAAGATGTTATTGTTATGTTAAGCGTGCATGCATGGGTATACGATCACACTAGTAATAAAATGCTGAGAAAAAGTATTGTTCCATGGGGATTGCACCGCTAACAGCTGACCATTTACTAGTTTTAATGCTATTTGAATAGTCAAAAATAGGGTTATGGTGTGCAAAAAAATTAAATAAACTAACTATGAAAATATAAATACAAAAAGGTTGTTAAGTCAAGAGTTAAAGACCGCATATTATATTTCACCTGGATAAGTTATGTTTATTAAATTACAATGTGAATCAATTGATAAAATTATATTTTCATAATCAAATTTTATGATGTACCCTACCATTCGCTTGAAAACCTAAGGTCACTAATTTATCAATATAGCCTATGATCATTTATGAAGTAGATTCAATTCTGACAAATTTCATTGATTTTGTACGAGGGATCTTAACATGAATTTAATACCCTATGATCCATTGCGATACTCCAATTATTACAAGTTTCTTCACCTCTCAATCTCGAAGATCTCGAAGATGCTTCAAAGACTCACAATTTGTGGCTAGTCATTCATAAGTATATAAACATATATTGAAAGTATGTAGCAATAGTGAAAGCATAGAAAAATCAAATGATAACATTAATAATCAACCAAAAATACAAAATCTGACTAAATCTACTGCTAGAAAATGGATTTAACTCATACTAGAGAGAAAGAAAACCAAGAATGCATGATTGCAAACAAAAATATCTGTTAAATTTAGAGAATTGGAGAGGGAAAAAGCTTAATTTTATTACACAAAATTATCCCTATTTATAGATATATATACACGATTTCTTAATAAAGAAGTAAATAACTAAAGAATCATGCATAATTGCCCTAATATAATCCTTCCTAACTTAGCCACCTAAATGTAGAAAGAGATCGGTGTGATCCAGGTGAGCCTCCCATAGATCCCCATGTTGGTCGTGGGATCAAGGGCCAAGGGGCGATTTAGATTTAACCGCGTTATCCAAGTGAGCCTTGTAATACCCAAATTTACTGGCAAGGAAATTTTAATAGTAAATTCTTTTAAAGTTAAATAAGTTTAATTAATATTTTTATTTATAATACATTCTTAAAGAGATTAATAATTAGACTGTTAAGTGAATTCAGTGAATTATTGTTGAGTAAACTATTAAGTGAAGGAATTATTAAAGCAAAGTTAATTACTTCTAACTAATTCCTTACAGTTATTTCCTGAAGAGGTGTGTTCCCTTTTGGACCTGAGTATAGGATAACTGTCAATGGCCCTCTTATCCACTCTTTTACATATTTTTCACGCAAGCATTTTTGCGGGAATATAACAGTATTTGGTAGTGGGAAATAGATAGATGAGGAATTCGGCAGTGGAAATTTATAACAGTATCTTGAAGAGAAAGTTCGGCACAGTGTTTTCAACATTGTAAAGAATGTCTGAGAACAAGGCTGAAAGAATTTTGTGACTTTGAAGGAAATCTGGTTGCTGAGAGTTCGGCACATTGACTGCTTGCGGGACTATGTAGATCAATTCGGAAGTGTAGGAGCAATGTTCGGAATTCTGAGATAGGAGCAGCAGTAATTTTGCTGTGAAGGATTGGTAGCCGATTAAGAGCAGTAAGGGTTTGGAGGAATAAGAAGCAAC